TAATTGCAGGGGATACACCTATCCTTGTTAAGTCTAAAGGGGCCATGTGTGCACATTCTTTAAATTCACAGGACCCCATCAAGGACAAAAAAAATAATATTATGATGATGATCTTGAGCAACAAAATTATGCATCATATCTTTATGTCAGATTTCTTTGAAGGCGTGTTAACCAATTAAGTAAGCAGCATTTATGTATATGGTATATTTTTTATCTGAAGAAAGATATCACCCTGCCTTTGAGGGTCATTAACACAGGACAGTGAAAAGAAAGATTGGTAAAGATGGTAAATAAATAGGAGTGAATTTTAAATTTAGAAAGAGATAATACATATAATTTGAATTTTACAAATGGTATAACAGAATCGGTAGGAAACATCAAAGCACTTTTAGATCAATTCTGTATATGAACAATGCTGTTAGAAAATACACAGCAAGTTTTGGAACAAAGAGCATAAAGAATTTAAGCAGTAATCTACTTACACATGTTTTTTAGAACCTGGAAGAGAGGTCTCTGGTTTCCCCTACATTTTATCTTTCTAATTTGGAGTGCTAGTTGTCAGCTATAGTTCATATCAAGTAACGATTGCTAACAAAATAGTTGCCTTATAGGCTTCAAAAATGAAGTAATTTCATTTTGCACTGTCGAGAGAGTAAAACAAGCCTCAAGAGAAAGAGCATTTTATATACAACTTGTATGCTATGATGGAGTCTCTACCTGCAAACACATTTAAAAGAATCAGTAAGAAATAGTGCATTTTCACACAAGCCATATTTAAATATATAGTAGGTTTAAATGTATGACATGCACATGAAAGCAACATATTTATCATGATTAGTGAATTTAATTCAATGGGTTCTTCACATTGTTCTGTTATTTTTAAAACTAATCATTGGTGAGATAAAAGTACCATTGTGGAAAAATAAGTATTAACTAATAGATCCACTGAAAAGTATAAACATATTTTCCCAGAATTCAAGAAAAACCTTTACATAGTCTCCAAGTGGAAATTAAAGTTTCCTATTCCTCTATATTTACATAAACCTTCACATTTTCTTAGTTATTGAGGGTATGGCTTCATTCTCTCATTCCCTATCTAACTTGTAAAAGAATAGTGTTCTAGAGAGTTTTGAGGATTTCATTTGTGCAAGAGCAAACAGTTTATTTTATACCTGGAAGATAGTTTTAAAAGAATGTATACTTGTGAAGATTAAGGCAAACTTTGGTTTAATAAAACAAAACAAAAATCTAAGGTATTTTCATGTGTATTACCTAGAACCTTTGATTTCTGAGATGCAAACTACTTGCAACAAGAGAGAAGTCATTGAAATATTAAAAAAGAGAAAGTTAGTTTAGTTGGTCTTCATGAAAAACACCAACTTGACTCCAGAACAGTGAGTGAATGGGACACAGTATAAGCCCCAAGGTCATCCTTGGAGCATCAGTTGACTGACACCAAGAAGAGTAAGCAACTTTCCAATCCAGCAAGGACAGAAGGACAGGGAATTTATCTCTGTTTTCTGACCTTCAGATTGTCAGCATTCAAAATCCTTGGTCACAGGGCCATTGTCAGCTCTGAGTCTTCTGAATGAGTAAGAAAGATTGTGGATAGCCATTTTACATGGTGTTCCTTCCCTGTGTTTATACCTTATTCTCTTCTTGGAAGGATAGCAGTCACTTTGGATCTCAGCACACACTGAGAACATCTTTTTAATTTATCTCTGTAAAGCTCCTCTCTCCAAAAACATTCAGATTCTGAGGTACTGGTAGTTAGGACTTCAGCATATGAATTTGAGGGGATACATAACACACACTTTTAAGATTATCTTTGCATGGGTTGGTCACCCCTCCTTGCCSCACTCCTGGAATTGAGCTTCTGGACAGCAGGAACTCTATTTCTCTTCTAATCCCCAGAAGTTACCACAGTGTCCGGCACATTACAGCTATTTCATGAACTCTTAGTGAATGAGTGCATGGAGATTGGTAAGAAATTTGGAGTTGAAAAGTGGCATGGTGTTCCTCACTGCCAGTGGTAGAGCCTGAGTAGTCGACTAGATAATATTCACATGGGAAACTGAGGCAGAGAAAACACAGTGCACTCAAATCAAGACACTTAAATGGAACACAAGTGCTTGTTGCTGTGACCTCCTATTCTCTGTGTCCAGCACTGAGAGTGAAATGACAGTTGAAGCTCTCTTGCAATCCCAAAGGTCAGGTCTGAGTCATTTGAGAGCAAGGAGATTGATTGTCAATAGATATTTTTTTCCTTAACTTCTTCATTTTAGGATCTCAAAATACCACAGGTTTAAGAAAGAATAATAATATATAATAGGTAGTATTTATTTCCATTGCCTACCGCCTTTTCCCCAAAGCAGCTTCATTTAAGGGACAGAGAGAAAATGAGAAAAAGAAATTTAAATAGACCCTTCAGATACTCTATCTAGGGATCTGTACTTTCTTAGAGACCAGCCAAGCAGGTTTTGGGGATGTATCTGAGAATCCTCTGTCCCTGCCATTTTTGGCTTAAGGTCCTGACTTTGAAAGACATTAGAAGACTTTACGTCAAGGCCAAAATGACATTTTTTTTTCCTGTAGTATACAATGATTATTTTATGATTCAAATACTAAACAATGCCTAATTAGAAATGTCTTTGGTACATTTGTGACCAAATAAATACATTGCAAAAGAAGGAATACATCTGAAGCAAATAAAAAATTTTCTTTAGTTGTGGGTTTTGCTATCAAGTATTAAATAGTCCCAAGTTCAATGGCAAAAGTCATTGGCCATTTTTCTTAAGAAAAGGAGATTCCTTTGGAAAACATATTGTTAGAATAAGTGTAATAATTTCTGAAAGGTAAGTTATTTTGACCTATAAATTAGACTTGAGTTACTGATGCTTTGAAACTAGAAGTTAAATCAAAAGCATGGTGATTTCGTTAAAATGGTATCGCAGAGAAGCACAAGAAAGAGAAATGACAACATTTACTTGACTTTGCATCTCATTGCTTCCATATACTTATTAAGTTTTTACATGAACTTTTGTCAACATTTTTGGCTTCTAAGGAAACACTAATATTATAATATTTTAAAATCATGTTTAAATCATGTTTCTTAAAGGGGTAGTATTGGAAAATGATCATTTTATACTCATTTACATTAAATGAACTCTAAATTTGGGGTATCCTAAAGTTAAACTGGAATTCTATATGTTATGACTTTGGTATATGCCTTGAAAAAAATGTGTGCGTATCTTTTATTGTAATTTTGTTGTCATTACCCATTCTGGGATCAAGAGAATGTCAGGAGTGATTGCATGTCCCAAAGCAAGGCAGATGGTGTAATATTTCAAGAAGGAGCTGGGCAGAGGAGGGGAAATCTGTGGAAGAGGAAGGTGGATTAGTTTTGAGGGAACCACTTGGCTCAGACAGCAGACCCGGTACAAAGTAAGAAAATTGCATCAGTTCTTGCAGGATGAGCTCTCAAGTATGTAACACTCAAGTGTGGGTGGTGACCGTGGACTTGTGTAATTTTGAGGTAGAGGTGGTAGGCAATTTGCATTCTTGGATAATGTGAGGGCAGCAGGATAGTGGAAAGAAGAGGGCTTTGAATCTAGAAACCTAGTATGAGTTACATTCCTACCCAACACGATCTGTGTTGCTTTGGGTAAGTTGGTTGACCTTTTTGAGTTTCAGTTTCCTCATCTGTATAATGATATTAAGACCAACTCACAGACTTATCATCAGGATAATTATATAATGTATGCAAAATTGCTCAGTAAGCTGGGATGTGCTATAAACATTACTGGTGAAGAGTGAAGATAGTTGCTGTTATATTATCCAAAAGAGTGAATGCAGTTAACCATCCATATTTCCTACTCCAGACCTCCTCTGAACCAAATCGATCCGCTGGGACATACAAAATATTACATTCAGTGCAATGATTAGTGCTTTTAAAACCCAAACTGACATCTAAATCCACTTGTTCATCTATTAATGAGGTGTGATTCTTAATTGTTATTTATTAAATGTGGGACTTATTTATAAAACTTAGAGAATCAGATCTGGAGGGAATGTTACCTAATTTCATCCCTCTTTTCCAGCAGGGCTGTAATCAAATGTGAATTAGCCCTGACAGATGGTTGTTGGATTCTGTTCCTAAAATTTTTAAAGAAGATTTCACAGTTTTCTTCTAAATTCTTTTAGTAATTGAACAATTCTTGTGCCAAGTTCTTTCTTATAGCTGACCTAAATCTGTAGTTGTAATTTTAAGTCCTTTCCCCCACTCCTGTCTTTGCTGGAGATGGAGAACAGCTGGTCAGCAGCTTTATGCTAATAGCTCTTTGTATATTTAAAGACGAGTTACTCAGTTTGCTTCCCTCTCTCCACCTCCTCCTACCCTCCAGAATCCATCCCCTAGTATTCTCTGAATCATTCATGACAATGCTGCCCAACTCCCTACCCCTGTCTCAGATGCTTGGCTGTTTCATCCAGCTGGAAAGAATGTGTTGTTAGTGGCCACATGGCCCTGGAGACAATCAGGAAAGCTCCTGCCCACTACTTTGTGCATAATCTTTACCCTAATAAGAAATGATTAGAATAACTCCTGACAGTGTTTGATGGGTACCCAACAGACACATTTATGTCATGAACATGGACCTTTGCAAGGATACTTACACACAGGTTGCTTTGCAAGTTAGGCCTCCCTGGTGACTTGGTGCACCTGACATGCCATTGAGCTTCTACTTTGCTTGCTAAWGATAACATTGATTGACATCTCTGCTCCATTGGACTTGATCTTAGAAGACATTTAGCTAACACTCCTGAGAATAGTGTACATTCAGAAGCACACTAACAACTGGAAAGAGTTAAAGGGTTTCTCCAGCACTCTTAAGTTGCAAATGGGGGAAATAAGTGACCATTGAGAATTGAGCTCATTAAACTGATCCCAGGTGATTTCAGGTGCTTTTAATCTGAACATGTGTATTTTTATGTCTCTATAGGTTTACTACCCAGAACTCTTTGTCTGGGTCAGTCAAGAACCATTTCCAGACAAGGAAATGGAGGGAAGGATTCCTAAGGTAAGATCCTGATCTACCATTTTTGATGGGTACCTGACAGACACATTTATGTGAACACTATTTTCAATTTAGTGGTATTTGGGGAAAAAATGTTATTTCTTTTTCATTTTAATATCCATTATATGCTACTGTAATGGTCCATTAGCATGATACTGTGATGACCTTGGAAAGAATATATATTTTTGAAAACATAACGTAAAGTCCTGTGACTCTTATAGTTCATTTTATCTTCCCTTCTTGCCAAACAAGTAAAAAATATATTTTTATGTAAGAATCATGGAATCAATTTATCACATGTGCATTTTACAGATTCCTTGTTGCACAAACTCAAATATGATAAACCTAAAAACTAAAAGAGGTGGTTAGAATCAAGGGATTTTTTTTTAGTTGTAGATGAATATAATACCTTTATTTTATTAATTTATTATTTATGTGGTGCTGAAGATTGAACCCACTGCCTCCTATGTGCTAAGGAAGCACTCTACCACTGAGCTACAACCCAAGTCCCGAGGATTTCTTAACAGTGTGAAATGATGACCTTTTCTTCTGCTAATAATTCCTGATGTCTGATAAGATTCCCTATGAAACAAAGTGGGAAGAACATAAAAAACTGTTTTATTCATTTTCCTAATTTGTAAGTTGAAAAAAACATTTTATATTAATATGGTTTTGTTGCTTTGACATCTTAGTGTGACAATTCTCTGCTTTAAGAAAACTTTTAAAAATTTATATTTCAGCACCATTTTAAGACAAACAAAAATTTATCAGTTTTTACCATAGATACCTTTAGACTTTGCCTTTTAAGATAAATATCAATTTGACCTCAGGGAGGAGGATTGTACTTTTTATCACTGACACTAATTTTTCAATGAATAAAGAAAAAGTCTGTTGGAAATAAAATTTATATTCAAAAGTTTTATATGTGTCATTGACTAATGGTAAAGCCTTCCCCCAGAAAACACTGGTATTTCAATGTTTAAGAAACTCTTCTTTACTCTAAAAGGTTTTAATAGCTGCAGGAGTTGAAGAGATTGTGTCAACTGGAAGTTCATACTGAAAGAAAACAATCCTAAATCATTTTTAATCTTTCAGGGAATTTCTTAAGGTCAAGGTTGAAGTCATTGGCTGAAAAGTAGAGGAACAAAACAGCTTAGGCCCTGCCTGATCTTCAAGGTCTTTCAGGATTCAGGCCATAAGCAGTCAGACAAAAATACTCATCTCTTCCTTCATCATCCCATACATAATGGTCCCTAAAGACTGAAGGATTTGAGTATTCAAAAAGGCTGGGAATGGGGTAGGGAAAGGATGCGTTCAGTGTCCCCCATAGACCTGCTCGTCTAGTGTTGAAGAGAGCTAAAATACTAGAGCTGTCCACCTACAGCAGCAGCACAGCGCTAGACTGTGTGTGTGTGTGTGTGTGTGTGTGTGTGGGTGTGTGTGGGTGTGTGTGTGTGTCTGGGAACCAAACCCAGGGTGCTCTGCCACTGAGCTACACTCCAGCCCTTTGAAACATATATACTTTTCCCCTAGACATTTTTATTGAGCCAGATCAGGGTATAATTCCCCTGAGGCAGCTTAGGGTGAAACAGAAATACAAGCATAGCCTTTTCCTTAACTCTTGCTTCCTTAGGCATCCAAAATTCTTCTCTTTGATACTGGTGACATCATCCAGATGGGTAAGAGCAGGTAAAGCTCCTCAGTGAGGTCAGAGGTGTCATCAGGGATCAGATCTTGCACACACTGAAGCATGCATGCTCTAGGGGGTGGGCACAATGGATTGCAAGATCCACACCTCTGCCATTTTAAGTTGCCTCCTCTCTAAATAAATGAGTAATATTTTAAGCATACACTATTTTTCTTTCTCTAGCAGTTTTGTTTTGACAAAGCACATCTTTGCATAATTGTAAGGAAAATAATCTTGATTTACTTGGTCCAAAGCACATTATTGAGTAACTGGGGGCTAATCTTCTAGTAATCATCAGAAGGGAGAGCCACCTACCAGAGACATATYAGCTGTAGTGACATCCAGGAGAGTAGGTCTGTGGGGGACACTGGACACCTCCATTCCCCACCCTACTCTCAGCCTTTTTTAAAAATATTAATCCCTCAGTCTTTAGGGACCATTTTATGTGGGATAATGGAGGAAGAGATGATTATTTTTTTTTTTCTGAATGCTTATAAGGCCTGACATCTGGAAAAACAAGATGTCTTTGTGTCTATTCTTTCCTCTTCAAGAGGCCTCCTTCCCTAGTTGTTGAATCCTAAAACTCCTTTAGTGTAACAGAAAGACTATTCTTTAAAACAGAATGGGTGAGGGATAAATGGGAGGCAGACTAAAATCTAGTAAGTCCAGGGTTCTAAAGGGAAAATGCACAGAACTGTGCCCACCCCCTACCAGGACCTCCTCTCCTTGCAGCCATGTTAGTCTGTGGGCCCTCAGGGTTGGTCCTTCAACAGCACACCTCCATGCACAACCAACCACAGTGGGCTTACTGGTGCCCCATTACTTGGGTGTCTGTCTCCTATTGAGCAAGTTAATTATGAGCAGGTTGGGCAGGGAATGTTTTTGTTTYTGTTTTGATCTTTGTGGACTTAGAATCTAATAGTGCGCTCAAGCACTCACAACATGAATAATGAACAAAAAAATGCGTGAGTATTTTTAGGACCTCAAAAGGAAGGGGGGGAAAAGTAAAAATGTTAAATACTCTGCTTCACTTTTTTTTTTTTTAAAGAAGTACCTCTTTCCAAATTACCAGGTTTTCCATTTCATTTTCTTGTGTATTTTTCATGGAGGTGAAAGGGTACTAAGACTGAAACTTGTGTTCAGAATGCAGTTGTTCAGTAAGATAATTTTTATGAACTTTTGATTTCCCTTCCTTGCTGGACTGTTGACAACTAACAGCTATTGAACTCTTCGTTTGTCCAAAACCTAAGTTTGTCATGTCCTGACTATGCTAACTGATTGACTGAGGGGGAGGTAGTGAGTGTGACATTATTTTAAAAACACCAGCAGATTTCTTTTTTTTAAATTTTTGGATTGAAATTATTTTCACAACTACAAGGAGCTGACTAATATTATAGCAATTTTTTCTTAATCCTTAATGGTATATGAGTGATGAAATATATTTTAATTTAATTTTATGGGTTTTCCCATTGATAGATACCCAAACAACTTCTGAAATCACAACTTAAGCCCTGAAGCATTAAAGTATATATTATGTGGATTTTACATACATCCTACAAATGTYATATGCTTTCAAAGTCTGAGGTATTTATGCAAAATTTAGGCACACCAGTTGTTTCATATGGAAAACCTGTTCAGTAAATAAGACTTCTTAAAGTTCAATTATCTGCTGCATTTTGTTCAAACTGAGGTTGCTGGAAATGTTTATTCAGTTTTGTGTTGTTTAGAAGAAGTTCTCAACTTCTGAATTCTTAAAAATAAATTTAGATGTGATAATTTAAAGATCACCAAATAAGAGTATCACTTTAGTCCAAGTCCTTATATCTAATCAAATTCATTTTTATTAAAACACGTCCTGTTAGTACCTGTGACCTGAGCAAAAAGCAAAAAGAGAGAGAGAAAAACCAGATCCTTTAACAGATCTTTTAAAACCACAAGGGAAATTTTTTTTCCCAAGAAAACCCCAGCAATTAATGGCTTAAATAAAAGACAGTCTGTTGTCAAGCTTCAAGCTTTAGTATATTCACAACTGAACAGGGCATATAGTCCCTGTGTGGTTAGTTAAGACTTCTGTATTGCTTGGGTAGTGGGCCTTATTATCCTGTTCTCTTGCTGCCTGGTTGGGATGGAGGGCTGCTGTCTACTGCTGGCCCCTTCAGTGTGTCAGCAGAAGCTGTATGGTGGATGATCATCAGTCACACTGAGGTTGGATCATTGTTAAGTCAGAAACACAAAACTTTGCTCATCAGGTTTAGAAAAGCCCCACTCAACCCAGACCAACTGAATCATGCACTTATCTGGCCTTGTAKTCCCACTGTCCTCCTCTTTCCTACAGCCACAATTCAGGCTCCCCTCACATTATTTCCTTACCAAAYACTTCCATTCTTGGTGTCCTCTTCTGGTTCTGACCATTAGGGCCCACATAGAAGGTGCTAACTGCTTATAGAATAAACCACACATAGAAAAGATTTATGCAAGTTGTTTTAAAATATTTTTGTTATATATTAGAAAGCAGATCATTACTTCTTACCACACCACCTGCTGCACTTTAAAAGAAAAAAAAAATTACCTATGAACACTCCTATGAGCACCTCTCATCCAGCCTAACGTTGGGTCATATCTGACACTACCAAATATCCCCAGAAATCTGACTCTCAGGAATGCTGCCTCACACATGGCTGGCCACCACCACCATTAGAGAACCACTTGATTGTACTGAAGCAAAGGCGGTTAGTGTTTAATTGCTTTATGCCCCCACAGACCTAATATTTACATTTGGGTGAACTGTGTTTAATATGTAAACCGTTTGCAGAATAGCAGGAGTTCAAGGATAAAAAGTGGGTAGGAAGGTTGGGGATGTAGCTCAGTGTGGATCCCTTGCCTAGGATGTGTGAGGCCGTGAGTAGGTAGGAGAAGCAGAATTAAAAAAAAAAAAAATGGTTTCAGAAGCATGACTGTTTGTCTTTTTTCTCTGTGTGTGTGTGTCTGTCTGCATCCACCTGCTTTATAGGGAAGACTTCCCGTCCCAAAGGAAGTGAACCGCAAGAAGATCAATGAGACCACTGCTGCCTCCCTGACTCCACTGGGCAGCGATGAACTCCGCTCCCCAAGTATCAGTTACCTCCACTCTTTTTAATCGTAACACCTCCATTTGTATTACATATGGTGTATGGGTATTGATGAGGTCATGGTATCATATATGGGATTTTTTTCTGTGTAAATCATCAAGTATACGAAGAAACTATGGGACTCTGAGCCTTGCTTTAGAGAATTTACAGTGGACAAATAGGTATCATCAAACCAGTTTTTAATCATTCTGACTCAAGTGAAAATGCTCAGAATTTCACACTGTGAATCCACGTTTACAACCCCCCTACAGGTGGGCCTTCAGGCCTGGTTCGCTACAACAGTGTCTTCCACAACTCAAACTCCCACTGCTCTCACACAACTGGTCCACTCCTGCCTTTTCACTCACACAGCTCCCGACTGCTTCTTGCAGAGGCTGAGAGTCCCCATTTTTTTTTTTCATTTAGATGTAACAAGCCTAGTAGTTTATGTTCATCAATTGTCTGTATATCTCTATATTTTATCCATGTACTCTTTTGATGTATAGAAGTAGTTTGAAACTCATTGTTTCCTTGTGGTAAGTGACCGAGATGCTGCCACAGGACCTGAGACACTGATGAATGGTGCTATTTTGGACTTTCAACATGCTCCTTGGCGAGGTAGCTCTGATGGAGTTATTTTTTATTTCCATGTTCTAAGAAGGTGTTGGTACTCTGTTTCCCTGAATGTTGTTCTCTAGACTGGATTGACTTGTTTTCCTTGTGTCTTCAGTGTGGCTTTCTTCCTCAGTGTTGTAGGTTGAGCGAATGCTACCAAGAGTGTGAGAGACTGTCTCGATGGCTGGCACTCATGGATATGCAGTCACGGTAGTGGGAGCAACCACAAAACTGTAATTTACTTACCAAATCTCTTCCAATCCGTAGCCTCGCCTGCCTGACTTACAGAAAGAAAAGCAATAACTTTACAGGCATTTTGAGATGTCTCTTTGGATTCTTTCTTTTTGACCAGATAATTTTTTTTGGGGGGGGGGTGGGTGAGGGATGGGGGTGGGTGGGAGTGGGGTGGGGGGAAAGGTCCACTCTTTAAATAAATGCCATGTGAAAAGAATCCAAAACACTGGCATCTGTAGGAATATGAAAATTCCACCTTTCCCAAGAATTAAGTTGAAAAACTGTATTTACAAAGTAATAATAATAATGATGATGATAAAAGGCAGAGCAATGTTTTTGGGCAGTTTTGACAAGCAAGGGTAGATTTTACATTTTTGTCCTTGCTCCCAGTGAAATGGATAAACAAAAATAAAATCAGATAATACCATCTACTCATGGAATGTTGTTGTGTTAGCCAGTCTGAAAGCCCACCTTAATTTTTATATAACTTTGTCTTTTAGCTCTTCCTTTGACAGGGCAGGCCTTGTTCTGAACTGTTCCGCTTCTGACTGTTAAACACCGATGACGCATGCGCTGCACTTCGTTCTCTTCTTGCGCCCCCATTGGCCTGAGTTTCTTGTGCTTTACTCCCACCCCCCTCCTTTGTTAGAATAGGTATATCAGCTGTGTAAATAGAGCAAGAAAACAGTATTCTGCATCTGTGGCATTTATGTAGAGTTGCAGTTGTGTACTGCTGAAAATGCAGGCTTTTGTAACAATGTGATCTTTACTGATGCACTCACAAGTACCCAATGTATTTTAGCTATTTTAGTAGTATTTGTTCAATAAATATGCAAGCTGTAAAGGAATTGTCTGATTTGGCTTATCGTTGAAGAAGAGTCCTACTTTGGAATGACTTCATTGGAGCATGCTAATTTTTGTGTTCCCARAACCCTTCAAGTCAGGCCTGTAAACCCAGGGGCACATATCAAAAGAGAATCAGTTCTGCCTTTCATGCATTTTCCCTTTTGAGGGCTTTATGAGATTAGGAGCTGGGCAGGGCCTCATTAAGATGGTATTAGCAGAGCTGCCTCTGGACACAAAAGAAATCAGACCAAGATCCTTTCATTTCTTGACTCTTTCTTCCTTTCAGGGCATTCCCACATAACTCAAAACTTGTTCTTTCTCACTCCTTCCATTAAGACCTACTCTGTGGTATTCTTTATCCTTACCAAAAGATACCTGACCTTGCTTCATGGAATATTTGCACTTTTACACAGACAAAAGGCTTAAACTTGTAAGAGGATGGAATTTTGAGATAGAATTTTAAGTCACTTCATCTGGATGTACCCAGATACATGGAATTCAGCAGATGATAGAATGGCCTCTCCAGAACCTTCTGGAGGTCTCATGTGACCTTGAAACCTGGCAACTCAGRGGATTCATACTCCCCAAATTGGGAAAAATCTGCTGGTCTCTTCATGTATTATGGGAGTGGAACTTTAATTTGTCTGTGTACAAATCACTAAACCAGGTGATTGGGTTCAGATATTGAGGGATCACCTGAACAGAGGCTAAAGAATAGAATTCTGAGATAAAAAGCCAGAGGGGTAAGGAAGAGGAGCTGAAGAATGGGYATCAGATGCTGTCTGGTAAATCTTGGGTTCTTGATCATGCATGTCAAGAGGGACTTCTAATTTGCGGGTTGCTGAGTTTACTTTGAAATTAATACACATCTCAAATTTTGATTGAGTTTCCTACTCACCCTCAACTTTTAATCTTTTTAAGAGAAAGTATCCTTAGGGAAGAACTAAATCCCAGGTGCCTACCACATAATCGGATTTTTTTCAACCTGAGGGGAAAATTCTTAAAATAAAGACAACCTCACTTCTTTGTAATCCCATCCAGAAATTGATACATCTGGATGTAGGGGAAGCCCTTCTTATATTCGCGTTCCTTTAAGCTTATAAACAGTCCTATTTCCCTCACCCGCCAGGCTCCCATCGCCTGTGGGATTGTCAAGTTGTCAGGGAATAACCCCTGACTTCTTGCCTTGTTCTGAGAATAGAAAAAGGTGATGAGATTGAGCCGTGGGGGGTGGAACAGATGGATTGCTCCTATCTATTTCCGCATAAAAAAAAAATTTCATGGGGCTGGGGATGTGGCTCAAGC